ACGAAAGAAATAGGCTTCGTCTTGAGTTCGTCAAAGGAGAAATTTGCACTAAAATGAATTTTGATATGAGTTGTTCTGATTTTTTGATGTTTTTGAAAAATAAAAACCAAATTAATCTTTTAAAATGTGCCATGAGTACAAAAAATACTTATTTAAAAATAAGTAATTTTATTTTTAGGATTTTTTTAAATATTTGCCTAATGTCGTGATTTTCGTTTAATTTTTGAGTTCCTATTTTTTAGTTCCTATTTTTTCAGTTACCTATGCAAGGAGTACTGTACTAGTACATGTAGGTATAATATTATGTTATGTATTAATAAAATAAATGTTGATATCATATTAGCAGTGATGTTATTATTTATTAAACTATAAAAAAAAATATGTAAGTACAGTGAGTAGGTAAGTTTTTGGTAGCCCAAGAAACGAAAAAGTGGTTACATTAGGGCGTGGCACCCCCAAAAACTTGATCACCGTCAGAATAGTCTGCGACTGCAACACTTCTCCGGGTTAAGCATCACTTGGAGTTGGCAACCCTGTTTAATAGGTATTTAATAATTCAGAGGCGGTACGAAGGTCGCCGGGTCAGCTAGTTTGTCATAAAAATTGAATGTGTCATATGAATTATGAATTAATCTACGACAACCCTTTTTTTCCAAGTTATGCCGCGTTCGATGTCAAAAGTATGAACTCTCATGAAACGATCTGTACCTAATAGACCGATCTCCTATTACCTGGACTGCGCGCGTCGCTTGTACGCTGCAGGTGAGCGTCCAATGAGAAGCAAGTTTGTTACAGGCTTACATCATATTCTTATTCAGGGGCCAGTTCAGAATGAATCGTTCCTTCTTTCTTTGTAACGTGTAATTCGACAGAAAGCAAACTAATACTTTACATATTACTTGAACTCACCGCAGTATCGTTTAAGGTTATACTTGACATATTCCTTTGCAATTTTATTGAGCGATATTGCCGGATGAAACATTTATCAAAATAAAAGTGTTCAATCCACTTTAAAGCTCTTCTTTTGTCTGATTTAAGGCGTTGTAAAACACTTGACACTATATCATTTCTTTCATGTTATAATATTCGATTAGTATTGTCTACATTTGTTCTGCAACAATACAATCTAGCTACACTGCAGCCTGCAGCCCCCAGTTGCGCGCGCATGTCATTTTTTATTACTTTCTAACTCGTATTTATTACAATTGAGCTCTCTTTTTCTAATCATGCGAGATAGGTCTATTATTACATTCGCAATTCCGTGAGAAAATTAGAAAATCAATACGCCATACTACTAGCACTTTTTTTATATAGATATAATATTACCTTGCATTTTTTGGGACTTACACCTCAATATTAATTGTTACTAGAAGTTTAGAAGTTTCTTGATCTTGTAATCTCGTAACAATTTCAATTCAGGAGTAAGTCCCAAAAAATGCAAGGTAATCAAAGTCTATACTATACATACAGGCATTTATTAAAATAGATATAACTGAGGAATAATTGACGATTGACGCCTATTTTGTTTTCAGTTTAACAGTAGATTTTTCGAATCTTTTTCCTATTCAGGGAGCAAGTAGGTACCTCATGGTTGCTAATGGCTATTTCTACAAATTTTCAGTCAGAAGTAGTTTCAACTCCCAATCGAGAAGCCAGTTATACAGTTGAGTAGTTGAGGCATGACTGGAAAACATCATTGCCAAACACGGGGTAGTACCGGCTACCGATGGAACTTCAAACCGATCAGGGGAGTAATTTTGAATCAGGGAACAACTGAAACGATTTCTGGGTATAAGAAAACGAGAACGGCTTCAAATGGTTTCAAAACCGCACATTTTCTATGGATATCTATATAAAGAGGAATGTCAAAAAAAAAAAATCACTTTTTTTCAATCAAATTCTTACCAAATTGGACTCAAAATGCGCGGTTAACGAAAAAATGGTCCAAATTTGTCTTCAAAGTGCTGGGAGAAAATTTTCAAAAGTTCCTCAAGAACAATATTCTAAATGTGCTTTCTAGATTTTTCCCCTAAAATATCACTAGAAAATGTCGGAAATTATGTAAAACACACATATTTTTTGCGGTTTGTCACTTCTATCCAATCAAAACCCATCCAAGTTGAAATTAGACAGAAACTATTCGTTTACTTCACAAAACTAAGTTAAAACTTATTATAGTGATTCAGATCTTTAAGGTAGGCGACGTGTGCGTATTGTTTTGAAAAAGTGTTTTTCTGATTTCTTTGCTTAAAATATCAGGAGAAAAATAATTAAGAAACAAAATCTCAATATCACGCGGACAACTCAAAATCCTCTCAGCAAAATTTTGGCCATTCCTCTTTGAATACCAAGAGAAAATTTCCAAAATGAGGAACATTTCCGGTCCCTTAACCCGGTCAATGGGTAAAAATAAATGGACCAACTACGAGCGCAGAATCTTCTACAAGCATATCAGAAAACAAATTATACATTGGACTGAGAAGGACCATAGCTATCCAGATTAGTGAAGCATTAAAAAAAATATGGAACTGGAATCCTAACCCAACACGTTGAGACGCAATACAGAACCGGATTTATAGTAATACCGATGAAGAGCTGAAGCAATGTTTTTTCTAAGCAACTATAAGTTCGTAGGAAAGGAATGCGCGGTATATGAACTGTTGCGGAAATAACCCACAACAAGTTTAAAATTTTGTTATTTCTAATTTAATATAATTTTCCTCTCTATTATTTACCATAAAAATAATATTCTAAAAAGAGATGCCTGTAAAACCGGCAACAACAACCCTTTGAACCGCTAAAATTACAGTTTTTTTCATTACCTTAAGGAATAGGGTACTACTAACTTATACCTGTTGTGGAGCTATTTCGTTGTTGTGATTGGTCAGCGGCCACATTGTTTTCTAGATTTTTGCGACCTGCTCCGCCAGAGCTAGTCGACGCGACGCACATTGAGCAGTAGTTTTAGAGTAAGCGAAGAGTTCGCACCCTCGAGCCCTCTGAACGCTCTCCAGAGGCAAAAACCCCCAAAAAACCCCCGTTAGTACGCGATTTCTAGTGAAATACTACTCTCAGGGTCTCAAGGCCTGACATGGTTTATATTATTGATTACAATTGACAAAATTCTCTCCTATGCCTGTTTTTTGGTTATCTCTCTCTCACTCTCGACGGGCTCCAACTCACCTGTATTTCATTGTGTTTTCTCTCTCAGTGGAAAATTCATTAGCTGTCCGTGCGAATAGTAAAAAATTGATAAATAATTGCGTTATGGATTTATCTGTATAAACTGGATTAAGCAAGTAAGACCGTTACAATTTCTCTGAACAGTCGAACAATAAGTTAATAAATACTGATTAGTGATTCGCTTGAAATGCACTATAAATTGAAGTGTTTTTTTCTAACCTTTAATGCAGAAATTTGATTTTCACGCTCGTGAAATTAACATTTGTACATTTGTATATAGAAACTGAGCATATACATAAAGACTTTTCTTGCACAATGTTTATAGACTTCAGCAGAAAAGTGCTCAAATTGTGAACTCTCAATAAATAAAAGAACTTTCAAGGATCAATAAACATTTTGTCATTGCAGTGAACTGATTGAAGTTGCCGAATTATTTATGTTGTGCTCTCGTGCTTTTAATTAGTTAATTTGTGTTGAATATTCAACCATAAATGATATTATTATCATTATCAGATTTTCCTACTTTTTATAAATCAAGATACTTTACTTTAGAAAACTTTACTTTAGATTAGTATAAAATTTGTAGTTCGACTGGACGTCCAGTTAAGAATTTTAAGATAGGATTTGATTTCTGACTATACCGAATTACTTTCATTTATTAATTAAATTGATAACTATTCTATTTTAGCGTTTTATTTGTATAAATGAGAATCAAGGCACCCCTATGGTTTGATAATGATCCAGCACCTAATGGTTAATTTTTGCAGTTAGTCAAAGTAAAAACTTTTGGCACCCCTGGTGCGGTTTAACTAAAGTCCAAAAACGGGCAATAGCTAGTTCCGTCACATGAACATATTAATTTATTTATTCGATGTGCTGGATGTTAAGAATAAGTAAATTTAACCCTAGAATACTATCGTTATTGGAAGATCGCTTAATACTATCGACACGTAAAATTTAAGTACAATGAGAAAACGAATGATATATTATCAAAGTAGTATTTATTAACTATGATTTTTTTCATAGGAAACTGAAAAAATACTAAAACGTACAGAAATAATAAGAACTAACATTGAAAAAATAGAACAAAAATAGCTGTCACAGTGTTTTTCAAGAACTAGGACATATTTTAACTTGATGCTTGCCACATATTGTTTTTTTGGATTTCGAACAGTATGTTGTAGTCATTCTCTTCTTAGTAATCTTAGTTGTAGTGTAGGACATTTGTGACAGTATTTTCTCGGGCCTTTCTTAATCGAAACGTAAAATTGACGTGCAGCGATTTCAAAAATGAGCTGTTTCGAACACATACACTTGTTAGCAATTTAACAATCTAGATTAGTACAATTACTAATCTCTGCAGATAGTGCAGAACGCCTTTATTATATTTCAAGGGAAGCATTGCTAGCGGATGAAGTGAGGATTCAACAGGGTGGGATGCTGCAGTGGAGTTTTGAAAAAGATACGTAATTTTTACGTATGATAGTATTCTAGAATATGTCGACTGTGCTACTACTTTATGGAAACGCTCCTGCAGCTTAATATGAGCTTTACTACTCTATGCTTCCAAGTCCTGGATCAAGTTCTACTTAGTAGAAGATGCATGTATACTGAAGGAATAGGGTACTACTAACATATACCTGTTGTTTATGCGATTGTCAATAATTATACCTGAAGTCCATCGATTTTTATCTGATACTCGAAAGGAATGTGAGCTGAACAATACTTTATATTGTTCTATAAGTCTAACCACAGAGCATGCACCCCTATAGGAAATGGCTCTAACAATAGGTATGATGTAAATATAAGAGAACAAGCAAAATTCAAACAATTTATTCGTAAAATATTAAAACTCTTACATCTTAAACTTAATATTTATTAGCCTTACAATAATTTAATTTTAGTGAGAATCAAATTGGCAAATTATAATAAAGCTTTCGATATGTAATACAAACAACTAAACTTAAAAAAATATTAAGCAAAATTGAACACAATTACACTTATAAAAAAAGACACTTACACAAACTAGATAAAATCAATTTGTTTTGGAAGCTAGCAGAATGGCTCAATATATCAATGAACGAGAAAAAAAAAATACTGCGACTATTCTGAAAAAGCGAAAAAAACAAATTTCTTTTATTTCTTGTACTATCTAAACACATTGCACTGGAAAAGCTGGTTATTTTGAAATTCTAATGGATCTAAGCAAAGTTGTCAGCATCTTTGTTGCCATCCAATCTTCTTAACTACGAAAAGATAACATTATTTAATACATTTCTTTATTGCTTTTACTTAATCAGTATAAGGCAAGAATTAAAAGCTGTTGCAAGTAAAGTTTCTGATTTTATTTTGTTCAAAATATGCTATAAAAAAACGTTTAAGTATCCAGTATCGCAAGAATAAAATTTCAAGCAAAATTGATTAGTTTAGCTTAGCACATATATTCTAGTATATTGTTAATATCGCCGTCACCAAGCTGTGGTTAGTCAAACAATAATATCATGTTAAAAACTTTACTTCTTTTTCATCTGCTACAGTGGAATACCTTTCGATGATTTTGACCGTGGTCAAAGTCGGAGCCCTTAAAGCATGTTGATATATCAGGGCTGCTACGATACCACCAGCAATTGGTCCTACCCAATAGATCTGAAAATCAGAATTTAAATGAGGAACTGAAATGCTTTATTCAAGTGGAAAATATAACGCCCGGGTTGTACCTACGACCGTTAACGAAAAAATTCTTAGTTTTTTACTAGAAAATTGAATAGGAAATGTTGGTCAATCTGGTGGCATAGACTTAACTACTACCAATGCTACTATTGCTACTACGAAGTAGTTAAGTCTATGCCGGTATAGTCCGGGGGCCGAGGACCTTTTTTCCAAATCATTAATAACAAGCTAGTTTTTTCAATGCAGCTTCATTTCACCGAGACGCCCAACTTTTTTCTCTTCGAAAATTGCGAAAAAAGGTAGCTAACATACGGCGCAGGCGTAAAACATGTCGTTTTGGTGACTATGAAAATTTAATTAATAACAGTTAGTTTTTCAGCTAAATGTTGAGATAATTTTATGAATAATTTGAAACAACATTTGTCCGACAAAATAAAGGGTTTGGTCTACAATGTCCCCCCCTCAAACATGTAGCAATTACGTTGCATAAAAAATGATTAATAACAAGTTGATTTTTTCAATGTAGGTTGGTAAATATTATTGCAATTAAATGGTCACACTGTCCTACAAATAAACAGGTAGCTATTTTCAGTCCTACACTCAAAAGTTGTCGATTTCACGATTTAACTTTTTTCATTAATAACCGGCTAAATCTTCGTGAGTATCTTCATTTTGATAAGACGCCTAAATTTTCTGTTGCGAAAATTCCAAAAACAGGTAGCTAACAGAATGCGCAGGTGGAAAATATGTCTATTTGGTGATCATACAAATGTAAATAATAACAGTTAATTTTGTAGCTGAATGTTGAGATAGTTTCATAAATAATATGAAACAACATTTGTCCGACAAAATAAATGGTTTGATCTAGGCTGTCTCCCTTCTCAAACATGTAGCAGATACGTTACATAAAAAATGATTTATAACCAGTTGATTTTTTTAATGTAGCTTATTAAATATTACTACAATTAAATGGTTACACTGTCCTACAAATAAAGAGGTACATTTCTCCAGTCCTACACTCAAAAGTTGTCGACTTCACGGTAATACTTTATTCATCAATCACCGGACACCGGCTTAATCTTCTCGAGCATCTTCGTATTGATAATACGCCTAACTTTTCTATTGCGAAAAGTTGCAAAAGTAGTAGCTACTAGAGTGAGCACTAGTGAGCACATAGCACATGTAAAATACCTTGATTAGGTGATTATGCAAATGTAATTATTAACAGTTAACAGTTAATTTTTCAGGTGAATAATGAGATAATTTTATAAATAATTCGAAATTCGATTTGAGCCACAAAATAAATGGTTTGGTCTGCAGTGTCCCCTTTCTCAAAAATGTAGCAATTACTGGCTCATAAAAAACGATTTATAACCAGTTGATTTTTTTACTGTAGTTTGGTAAATATAACTACAATTGAATGGTCACATTGTCCTAAAGAGGTAAGATTTCTCAGCCCTACATTCGAGATTTTCGAAAATAGCCTTATGCATATTATACGTAAATATGTACAGGGCTTTCATTTCAAAACTTGCCACTCACGTTATCTACGTAAATAGACAGATTTCTAGAAATCGCCGAAACATGTCAACAAATTTATTGAAGGGGTGCGTTAATTTGTTGACGTGTACCGGCGATTTCCAGAAATCTGTCTCTTTAGGCAGATAACGTGGGTGGCAAATTTCGAAATGAAAGCCCCTGTATGTACATATGTACGTATACAGATGCGTGTATAACAGTATATGTGTTATGTGTATATACACATACCTACATTTATGTCGATGGATTCCATTCGCATCGACGCGCATGCTCGTAAATAACACAGTATCGTAGTATAGGGTGATTCAAAAAGCGCGCCAGATTTGAATTGCTCGAAAAAGAGTTTTGGCATGCCATCAAAGTAGAGGGGGCCATGCCCTTTGTCATTTTCCATACCCAGATTGAGAAGGTTTGATCCAACCGGTTCATCTTAATTCTAAAGATATTTAAAAAAAAGAGTTGCTTTTTTAATGTATTAAATCTGGCGCGCTTTTTTGCTGTATATAGGGTGAATACAGGGTGTTTTCTAAGTTAGAGTTTTTCTTTTTAAATAACGTGGAACTTAAAAAAATACAGGAGTTTTCCAAATAATATTTTCTCGACAGCTCAAAAATGAAAGAGATAGGTATGTTCATTTCAAATAATATCAAAAATCAAATATTTTAATAATTATATTTTTCAAAATACAAAAGGTAAAATTCTCGAATTTAATCTTTTTTTCCAGAAATCTGTCTCTTTACGCAGATAACGTGGGTGATAAGTTTTGAAATGAAAGCCCTGTACATATTTACGTATAATATGCATAAGGCTATTTTCGAAATTCTCGAATGTAGGGCTGAGAAATCTTACCTCTTTAGGACAATGTGACCATTCAATTGTAGTAATATTTACCAAACTACAGTTATAAAATCAACTGGATATAAATCGTTTTTTATGAGCCAGTAATTGCTACATTTTTGAGAAAGGGGACACTGAAGACCAAACCATTTATTTTGTGGTTCAAATCGAATTTCGAATTATTTATAAAATTATCTCATTATTAACCTGAAAAATTAACTGTTAACTGTTAATAATTACATTTGCATAATTACCTAATCAAGGTATTTTACATATGCTATGTGCTCACTAGTGCTCACTCTAGTAGCTACTACTTTTTCAACTTTTCGCAATAGAAAAGTTAGGCGTATTATCAATACGAAGATGCTCGAGAAGATTTAGCCGGTGATTGATGAATAAATTATTACCGTGAAGTCGACAACTTTTGAGTGTAGGACTGGAGAAATGTACCTCTTTATTTGTAGGACAGTGTAACCTAGTGTAACCATTTAATTGTAGTAATATTTACTAAGCTACATTAAAAAAATCAACTGGTTAAAAATCATTTTTTATGTAGCGTATCTGCTACATGTTTGAGAAGGGAGACAGCCTAGATCAAACCATTTATTTTATCGGACAAATGTTGTTTCATATTATTTATGAAACTATCTCAACATTCAGCTACAAAATTAACTGGTATTATTTACATTTGTATGATCACCAAATAGACATGTTTTCCACCTGCACACTCTGTTAGCTACATGTTTTTGGAATTTTCGCAACAGAAAATTTGGGCGTCTTATCAAAATGAAGATACTACTCACGAAGATTTAGCCGGTTATTAATGAAAAAAGTTAAATCGTGAAATCGACAACTTTTGAGTGTAGGACTGAAAATAGCTACCTGTTTATTTGTAGGACAGTGTGACCATTTAATTGTAATAATATTTACCAACCTACATTGAAAAAATCAACTTGTTATTAATCATTTTTTATGCAACGTAATTGCTACATGTTTGAGGGGGGGACATCGTAGACCAAACCCTTTATTTTGTAGGTCATAGTCACCAAATCGACATGTTTTACACCTGCGCAGTATGTTAGCTACCTGTTTTCGCAATTTTCGAAGAGAAAAAAGTTGGGCGTCTCGGTGAAATGAAGCTGCATTGAAAAAATTAGCTTGTTATTAATGATTTGGAAAAAAGGTCCTCGACCCCCGGACTAGTAGGTTTGGTTTCGTTAATGACATAAGCCGCCAAAATTGAATTACTTTTTGAAGATTTTGTAAAAACTGCAAACCTGGGGTCTTTTTTTTTTCGAACGTTGGCAATTTTTTATTGCTTGAAGTTTCACATTTCAATTATAATACGGGCGATCGGCGATGTCACATCTAAATTTCATATTTCGAACCAAGCTTATCCAGTCAGAATACATGTTATATATTGTTACAAAATTGCGACGAGAGTTGGGCTTATTAGGCTCGACTCTACCAACTAGGTACTTAAGTTGCTTACGTCTGGGGCGCGTCTATTCTGGGAATGTATTCGATAGAAACATTTTTCTAGATAGATGCGGACTACGATGTCGACTATAAAATAAGAGCTTTGTTGTGTTCAGTTCAAATAGGAGTCTTGAGTAGGTAGTTGTTGTTGATTCGACAATTATTAAGTGAATTTTTATAAAGTTAGTTTGTTCAATAAAAGTTGTTATTGTTTGTTGTTTCTGAAGTGAGTTTTAGTGGACCCGGAATCCGTGATAATATTTTGATTTTGTTGCTTCCATTACCCAATGATTATCCCAAATTCCAGAAATAACAGCACTTCCAAAAGTCCTGGCAGGATTCATTGAGGATCCAGTAAAGCTGATAGCACCCATATGACCTAAGGCCACTGCTAGACCAATAGCAAGAGGACCGGCTGCTTTAGCTTCAGGCCTGAAAAATATAATTAAAATTTGCATTGTTTTATTATTTGCTATAAATACCTGTTCGGGTCACATACGCCACTGACAACCAAAACCAAAACGAATCCAAGGAAAAATTCGAATCCAAAACCTTGCAAGGCTGTTAGTTTCGGATTTAGTGTGGTCATGCCTAAACCAGTGTCGTGCCATTCTTCTGGCAGCAGGGCTTTCAGGATAGCGGAGCCAGCCAACGCGCCAAGACATTGGACAATGATGTACATTAAACCTTTTATGACTTTGATGTTGCCCACGGCAAACATTCCTACTGTTACTGCTGGATTTAAATGGGCTCCGCTTACGTGACCTAAAGACTGAAATAAAAAGCCATTATTAATGTAGGTATGGTTTAAGCACAACTTTATATCGCCACGGTTCAAAAGTATTCGAAAGTATAATTTGGTTTAATAATTTTTTTGTTAAAGTAAAAGTTCTTACTTGAACGCAAACAAAAATCACCAATCCAAATGTAAGTGAAACCAGTAAAAAGTCTGGTTTGTGTAATGCTGGAGCAAACAACATCACTACAACTGAACCGCAACCAAAAAAGTTCAGGAGTAGGTTTCCCAAAAATTCAGCCAACAGGGCCTTCCATACTGCGTCTATCACTTTGGATGACGAGACCTCGTTGACTCCGAGTACTTCTTTGAAATTACCCATGACTAATCTGAAACAAAAAAAAAATGTTAGTTGAAATAGGTAGGTACCTATACTTTGAAGCCGGCCGAACTCCAGTTAATCAATTTCATTGTTTTCTTATGAACGTGAGCCGTGAATGCTTTTTGATGATGGAGATAGACTTGACTTGGGTTTTTGTGTAGGTACACTATTTTAAATATTTAGTTTGTCATGTTTTTTGGTCTAGATTTTTCACTATCTTACAGTCAACTGGGGCTGACCCAGTGCTGAGTTTTATTATTACGATTATTTTTATTACATAGGTAGGTAGTGGAGCGGACATGTAAGAATGCATAATGTTGTTCCAAGTTGGAAGTTGAGATGAAGTTGGATTTCTTTACGGTACTTTGCAAATTAACCCAATTGCTGTGCAATGCTGAAAGCTGTTACGATAAATTTATCATTTACTACGTAACATGTTCCATCACTTCTTATTATCATTATAAAGTCGTATTTTTTCCGTTTCAGAATCAGCAAAATAATCTAAAATATCCACAAAGTTCAAGATAATACCAGTACCTGCCATCTATCCATCATCTGCGTAAAATGCAAATATCTTTTATTCATTTACCAGTACTGCCATCTAGTACCTGATGGATTTATTTTTCAAAGTATGATTTTAATTATTTCGCATTTGACAGTCATTTGTATTTTCATTCAAAGAAATTATATTTATCTCACTTTTAGCAAATGGATATATTTCTGTCTTTCTCTAACCTCTGATTCTAAAATAATTATTTTTTGGCTTAATGACCTAATTATTTACCAGTTTTTTATTTTTGACATAACCTTAATTTAAATTATTATAATTTATAAACAATTAAAATAATTCTAGTGGATTTTTATCTATTCTCTTTTATCCCAAGCGGTCTTTCATTGTGATTTCATTGTAAAGTGAATATGATCTTTTGGGTGTACTCGTCTGATTGGTCCAACGGATTAAAATGCGGTTAAGTATAAAAAACACAAGATCGTTTTCCTGTGGGCTTTGGTTTCTGAAACGATCTCCTTCCAAAACTGAAGTCTGGCAGGTAAGTCCTCTTTGTTTTGAATAATTTTTGCTTTGTAATTTTTGGATTCTTCCTTATAGATTTTTCAACAAAAAAAGTTTTGCACCATCTCATTTTGTATATTCAACGATATCTGAATCAAAAAATCATCAATAAAAAAATAGTGAACAATTTCAGATTCCTAAAACCTTTTTAGTAAATGTACTGGACACATTCCATAGTTGAAGATAACAATATTTTTATTTGTCGATGAGTATTCTCTAGTTACATTACAGGGCGGTGCAAAACTTTTTTTGTTGTGAGTATTTTGCTATCAATGCATATTATCATATCATTTTTAAGTTTTTACCTGATAAATCTTATCTTATCTGTTCTTGAAATATAAATATTATATTTTAATTTTTTTCATCTAATTCTTGGCTTCCATTTTGTGTGAGTGTCGATTGGTAGCGCCACGTTTATCTGAGGTGAGTCAATTCAGTTGTTTTTGGATTTTAAAAAGGTACTGCTGCTCTGGTTTACAGAATCAATTGTTAGTGTGGGAATATTGGACCATTTGCTCTAAATAGAGTCGGTGAAAAACCAAATTTGTGTGTCCATCCCTATCAACTCCAGGCAGAGGCCTGAATAGCCATTTTATGTTTGACTCCCTCAATTATTATTTCGACTAAAGGGTGTAATTTTTTCATAGAAATCCAGACAGGTCAAAAATTCAGTAAAAAGTTTCGATTAGAACATCTAAAGAATTTTGACATATTCTGGATTAGATTAATTTTAACCCCAGGTTTATCTTGTATCTAAATATAGTAGCTACCTTAATTTGAAAGTAAAATTTTGTCTATTTGGGGGAGAATCCAAATATTTAATTTCTCATTGCTTTACCTTATTTTGTTCATATTTTTGCCTGCCAGAGCTACTGTCAGGAAAGCAGCACTCTGCTCAATCTGTAGGGAGCATTTTAATTTTACTATTATCTAACCATTATTTTCAATTATTCAATTGTATTTTTTCATATTTATTTATTTTTTTTCAACTTGCAATAGCTGTTCATACCTGATTCTGTTGGAAGGAAGTGTCTGTACAACAACAGTTTTATAATAAATTTCATTTTAAATTTTCTTTGCCAAGACACTCACTTTTTGACAGAATTCAGGGATTTAATATTCCAAATATTGGTGAACCTGATACTGCCTTATTCTTTTCTGGGTACCTACTCGACATAAAGATCACTGTTTGGAGTCTGGATCAGCTGGAGTGACGTCACCCCAGCAATATATCCTCTTCCTGGATACAGGAAACAACATGAAGAGCTCCAGTTCACGAAAGTGAAACCCTAACATCCATTGAAGAGCTCCGGATTGGAAAGGTATATGGTATCAGATTCACCGGAAAAACCAAGCTGTCAATACTAAAATTTTACAGTAACATTTACTGTTACTCTATATTACATATAACATTGTTAAATATCAAATAAAATTATTGTTTGTTGGATTTTGAGTGGTTTCATTTGCACATAAAGGGGCTACACGTTATCCTAATTTTTTGAATTCCACGACCCTAGGTTATCTTGTCTTAAAGTAACAAATTTTCAAATTAATTTGTAACAAAGCAGACACAAGTTCTTCGGATATGTTGATCCAGTCTTCAACAATTCTGTTGTAGAATGCATTCTTCATGGACTATTTTCTACATCTATAGACAATAATAATTGTTGACCTCTTTCAGATTTAACTTAATCTAACGCATGCCTATTCGAAGCATCAGACTGCCAAAATGGAGAAGCAGATGGTTTTATGAAAAATTTCCGAGGAAACTAGAGGAAGAAAAAAAGTCGCTGAATGAAGAACAAACAACAAGAAGAACAGGAAGGGTAGCTGCAGAAAATTTTGCATGAACCAGGTTCAGGAAAAGTATATGAGGAAGAACAAATAAATTTAAAAAAAAAAAAAAACAAAGAGACCAGGACTGACAACAGAAAATTCGAAGGCTTCTAACAGGAACTCTTTCACGCTGAGCAATTCTGAGGCAGTACTTGAGTTGCATTGTCTGCATAAGGTATCTGCATTGTTTTGCAGTTTATCAGAATAATGTTTGATTTGAGAATCGTACTGTTACAAGTTGCAACTTCTCCATCAGGCCCAGGGGCTGTGGCTCATCAGGAAGAAAGCGAGATTTCAGACGTACTCTACAATCACGTTCAAAATATTCTCTTCTTCCACCTCGGTAATATTCGATGTCCCATATAGTTCAAGTTCCGAATTACCGCTTTGAAGACTGAGAGTACTAAGAGTCATCAGAAGGAGAGCGAGATATCAGAATCAGCCCTACTCTAAAGTCACGCAGAAATATCCTCTTTTTTCGCAGAGGTGGTAGTGATAACATTCGGTAGCCTTTCAAGTTCCTTGAGATTGATTCTGCTAATGACCTTTCGTATAAATAGTTTCTCCTATTGCTTCTCTTTCTTCTTGTATTGATATATCAAAGCATATATCTGTACCTCAGAGGTAAATTGTATTAAGTCAATATTATAATTTAATATACTAAGACAAAGTGATTCTAGTACAATTTACCTTTAAGCCTGGTGAGTCACTTGATACAGGTTCCGACTGGGTATTTCGGTTGTCTTAAAAGCTATAGGTGTATGAAATATTTTCCGGAGGTCAAGTAAGTTATTAGAAGTAGTATTCAGCTAAAAACCCATTTTCGAAAAAAAAGTGACTTAATACAGTTTACCTCTGACGTACAGATATATACAAAAGCAATCAACAGGTAACAGGTTAACTGTCACGCACATCTTGTCTGCACACGCCGCCATTCGAGGATACAGCCTAGGATTAACTGGCAGGGGCTTGAGATTTAATGCGCACGCCGCCATTTTAGGACACAAAGCTCGAGCTAGCTTGCTGATTGTTCTTGTATATGCTGTGGATATATCTTTAATTTTTGGGTTGGATATTATTTTATAAGCCGATTCGATTTGTAGGTCTTTGATCAGAGCTCCGCTACCACTTGATAGGTTTTGAGCATCATTTTTTGTACATCGCCACATCTCTGATTCCATTAAAAACTTTCGGCCGCTAGTTTTCGTCGCTGATTTCTTGTTGCTTCCGAGTAGGCCAAAATTAACCAAACGACGGATATCAAATTTTTTGTGATCCTTCGACAGCGTTTTGCCCTCTTGTGCTTAGCTGACCCGGTAGACATGCAGTAAGTGGGTTTTGATTCCCATATCGATACTTTTAACGCATCAAGAAGTTGAGGAAAACCACCTATTTAAAATATTATTTCTTCAAATCTTAACTTTTTAAAAAAACGTTTACTGAATAAAAGTAAATGTTGCAACCATGTAATGCGCTGTCAAGTTTACCGGAAGGGTAGGTCGAGGAGAATGAAGAACTAGACGACTAGACTGGAGAAGAAGCTGGGTTCATTATTCAATTTTTATTTTGTATTAATACAAATACTGATTGCTCAATTCAATTTGTGATTAGTTTGTGTGTCATAAGGAGCGATCACAGGTCAGTGAATAATTGTTATTTTATTTTTGAAAGTTCAATTTATACAATTATTTTTTTTTTTTCATTTTTATGTTTTTTTGTTTGTTTATAACATTTTTTATAGCATGTGCATTGTTCATGTATTTGTAATAATCCGGGAAAATAGACCCGTAAATTACAATGTCTTTACTGTAAAAATTACATATAATCAAATAATCAAAAACTGAATCTCCTGTATTTCAAATCAGTATCAATAAATTGAGAAGGAATCAAATTAACGTTCAATATTATATTAGGTATTTCGTCATCAAGCCTGTGTCATTATCTAAAATTCCTTAAATAAAAGCAAGGCCATAATAATTAAATCGAAGATTTATGGCACACGTGTGTCGGCTTTCTTTGTGTTGCCCTCACATTCTTAAACCAAAGTTTTTGACCTCTATAAATCAGGATATTGCGACATGATTATTCGATTTCAAACA